ACAAAAATTCAAGTACCTATCAAGTACGTAGCTTTTCATGATTTAAATTAGAATATCTGGTGATGTAATTACAATATTGCTTTATAGTTCTGTGTGTGCTTGTTCACAGATTGCTGTAGTAACTTTTAATACCAGTTCCTGTCATCATCAAAAATAAACAACATGTATTGGAATAGCGTTGTTTTGCAGTTTTGGAAATTCCAGTGACTTTTAACATATTTCCATAGGATCCTGAAGGCTTTTGTTTGTGTTTTGTGGTGGTTGTTGTTGTTATTTCTTTATTATTTAGTGGATACTACTTAACCTGTTCTGTGTAGCTGTTTCTTTGAAGTTTGTTTGGTGCACATTCAATATTCCTTACTGCAAGAAAGATTTTTTTTTAATTATTTTCCAGTTAGTATGAGTTTTTTAATCTTGTTTTGTCACTGTTTTTTTAACATAGACAGAAATGTTGTGGAAGTCAGGAGTGTCAATTTCACTGACGTGAGCACAATTTGAAGCTGGTTTTACTCTTCCTTGGACAACTTTTAACATAGTCTGCTTGACCAATATTTATAGCTGATTAGAGGTTAAACCAAACTGCTTATTCAGTTAAAAAAGATTGTTTGTACCTAAGTGTTTGTCTTCTCATTAGGAATGTTCATTGAAACTTTGTATTTTAAATTTATCTTATCAAAAGATCAGTTTCTGGGAGATTTGGCAAGGTTTAGGTAGAAAGGTGGTTGCCAGGGAGTCAATACATGCTGGATACTTAGCAAAAATTATGGAAGAGATGTGAACTCTTCCCTCTTCCTGTGTTGTACATATATACATATTGTTCATTAAGAAAAATTCAGTATGTATTAATGTAGATTTTCCTTTTTGTTGGTTTTTTTTTGTGATAGAGGAATGCCATGCTTAGAAGTAAGTGTAGAAGTAAGTGTCTGAAAGTTCTGTGCTGTTCTGTGTTCTTGTGATGCCTCAAGCAATTTCCTAGCTGGGAATTGAACTGTATAGGAGCCTGCAGGGTAGGACAACAAGCAGACACTGCTGCTTGTACGGAATCTCATGGTATTTGATAGTGCTTCTTGCAGTCATAGAGAAGCCAAGTGTCTCAGCTCTTCTAATATTAAAAATATAAGCAGAAAACCCAGCAGCTACTCTCACAGTCTTGTATACAGGACAGTAAAAGGGAAAGCTAAGGAAGCATGATTATAAGCGAATCCAGCTTGTTAAAGAGGCAAACAAAACTGAACTGAACAGAGCTCATGAGCTAGTAAATCAGCATCAGAAACTTTGACTGTTTGCTTGCCTCTAGATTTTTGAGTGTTTGCAGGTGAAATACTATTAAGACTTTTTTATGTTGGTTCTTCTCTCTGCTGTAATGATTTCATGGCCCTTAGACTAATTTGTTAGTGATTTTAAGTAGTTTATTATAAAATACATAGTGAATTCTCTATTAAAAATATAAAAAATGCTCAAACGCTATTTGCACTTCAGTTCTGCTCTCCATATCGCTGATCGCTGATCAGCTGAGCAATTTGAATTAAAATTATTTTAAAATTAGAGTTAGATATAGTGGTTTATTCCTGTTGTCATTGTTCAAACATTTCTTTATCCTGTAAGTGGTGTCATTTAGAGTATAAGAACTACTGATTTAATGTCATTCTAAATAATTAAAAAGAAGTCACATTTCCATTGCTATTATTTGGTGAGGTTTAGTTTGACCACTGTGTCTTGGGCTTTATTTCATTTTTTTTTCTCCCCCTGGCTTTTTTTAGATGTTAAAATTACTCAGAATCTGGGTTGTGTATAGATCCTAATGCTTTTTGGAAGCCTGTAGCAGTTTTTCCAAATCTGAAAAACATTTTTATTTTTCAATCTGTTTCTGCCTGAAAAGAAGTGGTAGGTGATGCATGGTTCAGAGTGTACAGGCATTGTAACTCTTCAAGTGGCATGGCAAGGCATTTTCAGGAGTTGGTGTCTTTTTGAGGACACATGAAACAAGTGCATACTTTTTACTGTCTCTCAGACTAGATCCATAAAAATTTAGAACACTAAAGTGCATAGGGTGATAGCATGCAATGAGAGGTTTTACTTTAAAAAAAAAAAAAGGTGGATAATTGTCTTTTCATCTGAACTGAGTAACCCAATTAATATGATGCTTACTGTTGGTCTTTTAAACTTAATTCTGAGCTGGAAGTTAACCTGTATTTAGCATTTACACTGAACAAAGACTTGGATACTGATGCAAAGTCATTTGAATTCTTATATATATGACATATTGTTTACTTTTGGTATTACCTTTCTTCAGAAAGTGAATGGGATCATGTACCATAATGCACCATAATCCAGTTAGGATTGCTTGTACACAGCAGGGTCACTTACGGCTTTGAAAAGAGGCCTTATGCTGCTAACCTGATTTGGTTAAGAGAGAGATTTCATTCCTTTCAAATGTTATAAGAATAGCACAAAGTTTTTTGTTAATTGTTCGGTTTTATTTAGAAATTCAAGAAATGCAGTCTTCATGTCAACATATTAAAAGCTGTGCACAACCCACCAAGACAGTTGGATGAAATTTCTCTGCTGTTATGAAATAGGAACTCTTTCTGTTGTAGTCCGTTCTGTGTAAGCTAATAATAGTCTTGAATTCTAAGATCTTTGTGGCCATAGCCTTTGTTTTATTTGCTTTCTAATACATTCAGAAATGTAGTCGGACTTGTTAGTGGTGTTCTTTCTTGCAGTAGGTGGTTGATTTTTTCTGAGTTTGCAGCAATACCTTAATCATCAAATCTCCATAAAGTTTCATTCCTTGCTTGGTTGAAATAGTTGATGGCATTTAAAGATTTAAATAAATGTAAACTAGAAATTACAATTGTTGAAAGAGGAGAATATTTTTTAAACCAACAGTCATGAATCCCCTCACTTCTCACTTGCTCAGCATTTTTTCTTATGTTTTTTAGTACGTTTAGCACTACCTCATTTCTCTGCAATTTTAAAAATTAAAATATGTGCATTTCTAAATTTGAAGGAAAAACGCGTCAGAACTTTTAAAAAAATCTTTCAAGCTTTCCTCATAAATCACAGAAAAATAGGTGCAACTATCTCTTCTATTTCTATAATAATTTTTAAGGTTTGTTAAATCCAGAATTGAGTGTGTTTGGCTGTTGCAGTGTTACTCTTGATGAAATAATTTGGGCTCAGCAAACTGATATATCTTCATAAAATCTGCTAGCTTTAGAGAGAGAGGTCTTTTGATTTTATATTGAAGATAGCTGTTTTCTTGTTCTGAAGAAAGAGAAATAATATGATGGAGTGATTTGTTATGCGCTGTTACTGAATACTGCATGTAAAGTTCAAATTTCCTTCCTAGAAGGCAAAACTGATCAGGAGCAAATAAATGAAAAAGATAGCAAAAATTGAAAAAGCATTTTCTACTACTGAGTTTTACTCTAATCCTACAGTATGTGGTCTTTATTGACTCTCATGAGGCTTGTCAAACTTGTAGTGCTGTTGAGCTGTTCTGTGTCTTGGATGACCATTGCTTTTAGCTGTTTCAAGTCACGGCCTCATAATACTGTGATTAAAAGTGCAATCTGTTCTTATTCTTAAGTAATGAGAAATGGGAAACCTGTGGAGAAACCAAAGAGTGGAGTTGAAGATAGGAACTCAGGTCTTCTGTTTCATTTATAATCAAGATGGAGTTGTGCAGAGAGGAGGTACTGTGTTGTTTGTTCAGATGATTTTAATGAAGTTCTGGTTAACTAATGATATCTGTGGTGTCTTACTAGATCAAGTTCCAGAAGCTTGGGAGAAGAAGGAAGTAGAGAAATGGATAGCTATAATAGTGTTGGTTTTCCGTTTAGATTGTGTATTGCCCTCATGCAAATTCTATTTTCTTTTTAACATTTAGATTTGGTATTAGAAAAAATTTCTTCACACGCAGGGTTATCAGGCATTGCAATAGGCTGCCCAGGAAGGTGGGGGTCACCATCCCTGAAGGTATTTAAAGCTGTGTAGATGTCCTACTTAGGGATTAGTGGTGGACTTGGCAGTGTTAGGTTAGCAATTAGATACATTGATCATAAATGTCTTTGCCACTGTAAATGAGTGTAAAAAACTGGTAGACATAGCTGCACTCTCATGATTTTTGGGTGTTGAATAGACCTAGCTGCCAATAGATGATTTTGGCTTATTAGTCCCCAGTTTAGTGTTAGGCTGTGCTCTCTTATTGTTCTATTTGTCTTCATCTTTTGCTGGTTTTTATTTTTCTCCACTGACATTTTTATATAATAAACATAGGGTTTTATATTGTAAAATAACTAATATTGGTGCTTCCAGTAATAAAATGGTATTGGAATAAAAGTACACCAGTGAAAAATAACAACTAGTATGTAGTAGAAGATATAAATCTGGGAAATCTTTTATCTGACATCTAGTTTTCACAAACTTTCTGAAGTCTGTTTTTAAAGAACATTGTTTTCTTGCTCTCATTTGAGTTTTTTTCAGAAGCTTTTATATACTGTAGGTTAGCTGAATGTGTGTTGGAAGACTGATTTAGTGTATATTTTGAAATAAAATCAAAGAGCTACATGTGGTAAAACTTAATGTTGCAGCATGTATTCCAGGCTTAATATGTAATACAATTGTCTGACTGCTAAAAATAACAGTAACAGATATAGCAAAAGGCAGCCTTGTTTGAAGATTATCAGTTTCTATTGCCATATGTCACATTGTATACTCTTTTATTGTTGATTGTAGGTATTTGTGTTCAAAATTCTGTATGGTTAAAATCTTGTTTATACCACAGAACTATTGGCCATGTTTTTGTCATTTGCAGAACAGTGAATCACTTGTAGGGAATTTTCACTAGAATGCTTTTGGTGTTTGTTTTGGTTTTGGTTTTGGGTTTTTTTTTAGTAATTGTCTTTTTAATATGCTCAGTATAACTTTTTTTGTCTGTAAAAGGCATAGCATACATGTAATATATTTTTATCTTCTTTTTTTTCCCTCTTTCTAAGGCTGATAAAGAGTTTGTGCGGTCTCTGTGGAAACACCTGGAAGTGTCAAGTCCAGATCTTATGCAAGCTGTCGGCTTGGTTGTGGAAAGGTGAGTTTGAAGATTTAACATGATGCTAAAATCAACAACCAACCTCTTCTGCTGATACCTTATTCTTTATCTTTCTAAGTGAGAACATTTTTAAAAATGTGTTACAAAAGTTCAATTGCTAAATTTTGTCAAAAGTGCCTAGAATACATTGCAAGTTTCCTTTTTTGGTGCCAGTTGAAGCATACTTCAAAGTGTCCTCTCACTGAGATTTCTGTGCTGCAGCTGAATACAATTTTCGAATTACAAATGTACTGCATATTTTGTTTTTCTGTTGAAAGAGCAGGAGGAGGTAAATGACATTTTCCAGTGTCATAACTTGTTGGATAAGTTATATATAAAAATTAGATTTGTCTGAATTCTTAATGAAGTGAAAAGCTAAGATATGGTAACAGAAAAGATAATCACAGAAATACTGAGTTGGATGGGACCCATCAGGATCATTGAGTCCAGCTCCTGGCCCTGTGCAGGACATCCTCAAGAGTCACACCATGTGCCTGAGAGCATTGTCCAAACGCTTCTTGAACTCTGTCAGCCTTGGTGCTATGACCACTTCCCTGGGGAGCCTGTTCCAGTGCCCAGCCACCCTCTGGGTGAAAAACTTAGATACTGCCTTGATGCATGCAAACATGATAATGAGCTGAATTTTTTTGCAATGGTTGGAAATGTTTTTGAAACCCTTTTAATGTAGTGTTCAGCTTACCAGAAGGCTTGCTACAGGAATCTCGTATATAATAATAGTCTATTATATATGAAGGTGAAGATATATTCTATGTACGTGCTTTGCACTTTGTATAGAGGCTGGTGAATGGTACTCGTACATGAAAGCCTAATAACATACTTCTGTTAAAGTGCTTGTCTAGTTTTTTTACGTCCTCTCCTATGCCTTAGAACACCTCTATGAACTCAAGGTTATACATCTATATCATACCTTTCTCATACTTCTCCGAATTATGAAATTAAGAGAGAAGAATTGCTTCCACAGTATCTTTTTAGGTGTTAACCCCTGACAATCCTGGAATAGGTTTGGATAAAATCCATTCAGTATGTAAGAGTTTTACTAATCAGAACTTTGGAGTTGCTTTGATTTGACAGATGGAACAATATTTTTCTCTTTAACTGGTGTACCTTCGTCTCTTCTGCCTGAGATCAGTCTAATTGCTGCTTCAGAAATAGTTTCTAGCCAGGCTTTACCTGCACAACCAAATTACAGCCCCATATATCCTCTCCTAACTTTTCCAGTTATGTTTCCATAATAATTGCCTAAGTAACTTCAGTTTCATGAAGTTTCATGTACCTCTTCACACTGTCATCCTTTCAGAAAAGTTTTTGTCTTACACCCTACCTTATAGCAGTAAACAATTATTTTTTTTGTTATGCTAGTGTCAATTCGTCTCAGTTCTAATACATTGATATAAGCTTTCCAGGGAATCTGCTACCTAGCACTGCTACTGTCCAGAAAATTACAGGACAAGTGATTTTCTGGCTTTGTTAACCTAGGAAAAATATGTGGATTTAAAGGTTTTAAGAGATAGGATTACAAAGTAATAGTTACAAGCACAATGATTCCTGAAGCATGTCACATGGGAGATCTGTGCTTCTTGCAGCTTCTTGCAGTTTTTGTATATTCTTGCATGGTTGTATCAGGTGAGCTGGAATTTGAAAATTTATGGTCCAATCTGATAAAAACTAGCTAAAGTCTTGGAGGCTTTTTTCCCTTCTCATCTATATTGGAAATAACATTGACCCAGTCATAGCCAAGTTGATAATACTTTCCATCTTGTCCTGGCCTATGGGGAGATTTTGAGATAGAAACAAGCAGAATGAAAAGGATTTAAACCTATTATTGTTTCTTCCTGTGACATGGATACCACCAATATTTGCATAGCTTTATTTTTCAGTGTGTTCTTTCCACCAAGAATTCCATAACTGAGAAACTTTCATTGCCCACCAAATCTTTGTTAGAGACTATCTGAGGTCAGAAGCCAGATACAGAATGGAAACAGACAATCGAAGAAAGCATAGACATGTGTATTCTAGATCATATATATAAAGAATCAAACAATATCGTCCAGTAGATTTCAGTCATTAAATTGATAAAAGAGACAGCTGAGCTTTCTTCGTAAGATTACAATGACAAAAATAAAAAGATACAGGACAAAATGTTCATTTGGAACCTTATAACTTACACCACAGATGTATGATGAAGAAAAAACCAGATATATTAGGGGGAATTGAGTGGGCAGTATTAGCTGTACTATCAGCTTATGTTTATAGCATTAGACAATTCCTTATAGTATCTTTTTACAAACAAATTAGGGAAATCTAAAAGGTATAATTTGGGGGACTAAGGGGGAATTAATAGTACCTTGCCATTATTTGTCTGATATTTTGAAATGCTTTCATGGTCCTAAAATAGAAGTTCACCTGCCCTGAAATTGTAAAAATGTAGCTTGTACCTTTTTATGGCTATGCTGCTGATTCCTGTAATACATCAGTGATATGCTTTTCAGCAGTCTTTGCCGTTCTTGCTGGATAACTGTGACTATATTCCCAATTTAATATTCAGATATAAACAAAAAATTATCTTTACTGTGCAAATGAGAAATGCCTTTGGGATATGTAAAAGCCTCCAGGTATTTTCAAACAAGCCATTGTAAAACTACTACTCATGTTAGTACACTTTCCAGCTACTTTAAATACTATTGATCTCAGTATTATGTAGAGAGCACACTACTTCTAGTTCACTGCCTTTTTTTTATGATTTAAAAAATATGCTAGAAAATACCTCTTATTAGGTAAATGCATGTGTGAACTGAAATGGAGTTGGGGTTCAGATGAGAGTATCAAAGATTTTGAAATATTTTTGCAAAGTTCAGAACTCCGATTTAAGACACTCCTATAGTACACGTGATCTTGACAAGTTAACAGACTAATTTTTCTCTAGGGCTTCAACCTGATTCCTTTCTTTTCTTAGGAAAGGGGATGTAGCAGGATCCATTAATGATCAAACTGTGGCAGTGATACAAGACTTGGTAGATATACATGGGGTTTGTATTATGCTAGATGATACCCTTAAAGATACTTATATTTGGCAAGCTTGCCTTACGTAGATGTTTTTCCACACCTAAATTTTGACTCTGCTGTATCTTACAGGTCTTAACAAAGAGAAAGAATGGATTTATCATTTCAGAAACAGTGGCAACCTGTATGTTAGTTCTGAATGAGAGTTTTGTTGTTGTTCTTCCTGGGGAGTTACATCTATCTAAAGGTGGGCAAATGGACAAAAATATGGCTGAAAAGCAAGAGATCATAAATAACTAAAGAATTTTTGGAAAGGTACTTGCAGGAGTTTATGCTGTGGTTTGCAGCATTCTGTGAATAGCAAATTGTGGAAGAAACATTAAACAAGTTGGCATAGGTTCTTCACTGACTGACAATATGCAGATACTGAAAATGGTAGGTACTTTTTATATAAAAGGATAAGTGAATGTGCTGTGTGAATGGGCAATATAGATTGCCTGTATTAATTGAAAAATAATTAAAAATCTGTATCTTGCATCTTTTGAAGGGCTGATAAATATCGTGCAGAAGCTTTCTGAAACCACCATTTTGCTCTTGTGCCAATTAACAGGAAACAGAATGACAGGAAGCCAAGGAAGTAAACAAGATTCAAGACATTTTTAAAGGCCATTACCATTTTGTTACTCTGAATTTAAAGTAAAATGGACTCCCCAGTTATTATCACTCAATAAAATGGACAGAATAATAGAGTATAACAGTACAACCTTTCTGTCTAAGGTCAAATAATTGTGATTTTCTACAGTTAATGAAAGTTTAATATCCTGTTTCATTAAAAATTCTCAGAACATTGAACATAAGTCAACATTCCATGGAGAAGAAGGTATTATGCAGTTTGCATGTATGCATATCTGCATATCAGAGCACAAAATATTGACATGATAATTGCAGTCAAGCCTGATTGAACAGCGGCCTCTGGGAATTCAGCTGGTGTTGTACCAACTGGATGGCTGCTCAGGACACAGTTTGAAATGCAAGGTGCAAGTTAGCACTTTATTCAGCACAGGCAGGCATCATTTAAAAATCCTTGGGGGAAACCCTGGTGATGTGCAGATGTTAAAGCAGTCTGTTCTGAAGTGCTGATATTTTGAACACTGTAAGAGACTTGTGTGTTTTAGATGAAAAATGTTTGCAAAATTGTTAGGCAAAAACGTCACCATTTTCTGTACTCCTTTAGTGTAAAAATATGTTTAATATTTTATGTATGTTGCTTAAAATAAGAGGCTTTAATAAATCATCTAATTAATTAAATCAAGTTGGAGATGCAAGAAGAATAACGTTTTTGTAATGATGCCTTTCCATTTTGATATGTATCATGGAACATAGAACTGACTCTGTAAATAATTTACTAAGGAAATAATTTCATGTTATGTATTTTATTTGGATCTTAAATTATTTTTGTAAAGAAACAAAATAGGTGTGTGCAACTATATTATAGAAAGTAACTGCTTAGAAAAGTGCAAAATGTGTGGTATTCATTTAAATTCCTTTTTGCTCCATGCTGTCTGAATCTTTTAAAAGTATATTTGTAAGTATTAAAAGAAAAAAAATTTATATGTATCAATTGTAATTCATCATGAAGTATAAAGATCTTCTAGGAGGTGAAATTAAACTCTTGATTAAATGCAGACTATTTAGCTCTGCAGTTTTTTTAGCATTTCTCAATACATGGAAACACAGTAAGGTTTCTTCATGAAATATTAAGGCATAGGTTCTGTTTCTGCTAACCACTGACTGTGCAACCGCAGGGATGTGACTGTACACAGTAATTACAGTATTGGTGCCATACTTACAGTTACATTGACAGTCTGTGCTCTACAACTTCACTTTGCACATGAGCGATTCATTTTCTATTTAATACAAACATAGAATGTGTGTATTTTGGAAGTCTGTAATATAGTTGAAAGTTGGAGGACAGGGAA